ATGTGGCAACCCTACCATAAGCCCACCTTCCTTAACTGTTGGTGTATATTTCCCCAGATATTTTGTTATGCATATATTCCACATACAACAAAAACATAAACACTTACTATGCTTTCAAGTAAATACAAAAGAGATCATTATATATATATATATTTCCATAGCTCACTTTTAAAAAAAATACTCAGTCTTCTACATTTTGTCATATTAGTTCATATAGACCTATTTCATTTTTATTTATTTTTTAAATTTCTTTTCAGCATAACAGAATTCATTGTTTTTGCACCATACCCAGTGCTCCATGCAATACGTGCCCTCCTTAATACCCAGCACCTGGCTCCCCCAACCTCCCACCTCCAGCCCCTTCAAAACCCTGATTGTTTTTCAGATTTTATTTATTTAGCTGAGGTAGAGAGAGTGGGAGAGAGAGCACAAGCTGGGGGGCAGGCAGAGGGAGAGGGAGAGGCAGACTCCCCACTGAGCAGGGAGCCCCATGTGGGGGCCCAATCCCAGGACCCCAGAATCATGACCTGAGCCAAAGGCAGTCACTTAACCGAGTGAACTATCTGGGTGCCCCCTATTTCATTTTGTAAATGGTGGTGTAGTATTCTATAGCATAAATATAGTATAATTGAATCAAAACTCTATGATTGGTCATTACACTGTTTCCAATTTTCCAGCATTACAAATCTGTACTGATCATCCTTCTACATCTACCTTTGGCCATCTTTTTTAGTCATCTGTGTGAAATCTAAGATACAAGGTGCACATTTAAAATTTTAACAGCCACTGCCAAAATGCCCTCCAAAAAGGTTTCTACCAATCTGCAATCCTAACAAAATTGTATGAAATTGCCTTTTTCTTCACACCTTGTACAATCCTGGCTATGGTCAATCTTTGCCAAACTTACAGATAGAAAGGATACTGCACTGTTGTTCTAATTTGCATTTCTTGATTATTCACAGTATTCAAAATATTTTTACACATTTATACACCATTTATAACTTTGCTTATCAGTTGCCCTTCATGTCCTTTACCAATTTTTCCTTTAGATTTTTTCCTTGTTGATCTTAATAGTTTTTTATTTACTAAGTGGTGATATTAATACTCTGTCCTGTGTGTTACAAATATTGTCCTTGAATTATGTTCATCTTTTGACCATGCTTATGGTGTTTTTTAATTTTATTTTTTAACTTTTACAGCAAAGAAGTTTTACATGTTTTGTACAAGTGAAACTATCAGTCTTTTCTTGATTTGATAATTGGAGATTTCTTCTCTCTAACATTATTAAAAGATTCATTCAACTTTCTTTCTAATTCCTTACATTTTTTGGTCATAGATTCATGTAAAATCATACTGGTGAAAAGAATGAATCAAACCTCTGCCCACATTTTTTTTTTTCAACAGTTGCCCTATTGGTGGACATTTGGTCTATTTCCAACTTTTTATTATTATATGTATTATATTTCTAATGCAACGGTTACTTGGGGGATTTGGGAGCTAGTATATATAAATATTATTAATGTAACTCATATCAACTCATCTAAATTGACATCTACTCCACCTTTAGAAAAATTAAAATAATTTACATTCCCAGAAACAGTGCTGTTTGAGACAACTTGTTTCTCCATACTTTTGCCAACAAAAGCTGTTATGTTATAAAGTGTTGACAATCTGATTAGGAAAAAGTGATGCCTTATTATTGTTTTAATCCATTTCTTTAACTATGAGTAGCATAATACATCTTTTAATATGTTTATTGGCCATTTGTATTTCTTCTTTTGTGAATTGCTTTTTTGTGTCCCATTTTTTTTTTCCTACAGGAGTTTTCATTATTTCTTTTAATGATTTATTTATTTATTTTAGAGAGAGAGAGAGAAAGAGCATGCGTGAATGGTGGGGGGGTGAGGGGAGTAGGAGCAGAGGGAGTCGGATAGGCAGAGAATCTTAAGCAGACTCACAGCTGAGCATGGAAACAACTGGGATCTCACCACCCTGACACCATGACCTGACCTGAGCTGAAATCAAGAGTTGGATGCTTAACTGATTGAGTCACCCAGGTGGCCCCATTATTTTTTTAACATTTATTCTTTTTTTTTTTTTTTTTTTTAAGCAATTTCTATGTCCAGTGTGGGGCTTGCACTCATGATCCTGAGATCAGGAGTTTAAAGCTCTACCAACTGAGCCCCAAGTTTTCATTATTTTTAAGAGAAGGATGTCCATCCCTATCTAGAAATCAAATACTGTATTTATATTATTTATTTCTTAATTTTTAAAAAATAACTTCTTTTTTACTTCATCTAAGAGATAATGTATTTCTTTTTAAAGATTTTATTTATTCATTTGAGAGAGAAAGAGTGAGAAAGAGCATGAGAGGGAGAAGTCAAGGGAGAAGCAGACTCCCCATGGGTCTGGGAGCCCGATGCAGGACTCGATCCCAGCACTCTGGGATCATGACCTGAGGCGAAGGCAGTTGCTTAACCAACTGAGCCACCCAGGCGCCCTAAGAGATGATGTATTTTTAATGGAACATGGAGAATCTCATGGAATCCAAGGGAAGCTGAATAACCAAAACTCAGGATGATAGGAACTTCTCTCTCCCAAGTCTTCAAGTCTCTCATCTTTGTTTCTGTTTTTCTGTTTCTCTCTTTCTGCAGATGGACATTATCTCATTTTCATGGGTGCCCTACAAAGATGGTCCCTTTTCTGTATTTCTATCATTCACTTTCAAGTAAACAGCCCAGGCCTGTTCCAGAAAATAATTTCAGTTCAGTTCCAAATTCCTGGGAGAGGGAATCTGATTGGTTGATCTTAAGTCAAGCAACTCCATCTTGTCCAATCGAGGGGGTAAAGGACAAGGCCGTGTAGGGAAGATATACTGTTAGAGGCCACAAAGAGGGTCATTAATGGTTTGCAGAAAAGGAAGTCATCACAGTTTGGATATATACCCCAAAGATTTCTACTACAAGTTGCTACTATCATATCTATTTGGCCTCTGTCTGTTCTCTTAATCAGTTATGTTGTAGTATAATAGTACTATCTGGTCTTGGCAATTCTGAATCTTAAGGACTTAGCGATCTGGAGGCAATCTCAGCTGCCCTGGTAAGATGAATCACTTTTGGGCCAGACAGTGATAGAATGGCTTAACTCCTTAAGAAACTTTAAAACTGACTTGGTCTGAAGATTTGAGAGTCATTTGAATTTCTTCTATGAGATCACCAGCCCAAGAAGTTCAGACTGACACTGGTTGGCCTTGGGCATATTCTAGGCCAGTGGCACATCCAGGCATAGATCCTGACACTGTTCTAAGATACTACCTAGAAGCCCTTTTGGAATATTGCCATCAGCTTTTCTTCCTCAGGGTGGTGCTCAGCAATTTGTCCCATTGCCTCTCACCCGGTCCTTCTCCATGTCTTCTTCCTAACAAAACAAAACAAAGCTGCAGAGCCATTACAACAGAACCATATGTGTTAATAATCCCTCAGATTCAAGTGGAAACTCACATTTCTGTAAATGTCCTGATTGGGGAACACCTCATTTTCTCCATTTCATACTCCATCCCGTGAGAGAATCATTCAGTGGAGGACGGAGAAGTTGGTTCTTCCTTCATACCTAATGTGCTGGCCACCTTGGTCAGTGCTTTTTCAGTGGATTGGAACGGTTGGTTCTTTATTGTGTGTGACTGTGCCAAGAATTACAGATGTTTAGCAACCTTGGTCCTCAAGACATTAATGGCCAGGGTACCACTTCCAATCTCATGAGATCCAAAATACCCCCACAGTGTTTTAGAATTCACTTGAGGAGTAGTTGCACTCCTTTGAGATAACTTCTGCCATGAATGAAAGTTCTGAGCCACTTGCGTCTCTTATTTGCAAGGATCTCTTTACATTATGTGGGTTGTTTGTGTGTGAGCTAGTACACCCCTAGTACTGCATGGGGTTGGCCAAAAGTTATTTCTCTTAGGTTGGCATTCTAATGGAGTTGCTGGGTTCCAATAATGTTTTCTTCTTTTGGATTCTTGGTCAACATAACTTTAATCCATGGGTATTTCAAGTTAACTTACTTTTAGTGAGTAGACTAAAATAAATTTCTGATTATTTTGTACATAAGGCCAAACTGAACTCAAAGCATAAAGGGAGTTGTAGCAGGATATAGTGGATAGAGTGGTAGACTGGGTGTTTAGAGATCCCTTACTAGCTGTGTAATCTTGGGTGAATCAGTTTCTCTCTCTTGGTTTCAATTTCTTCATCTGTAAAATGGGGAGGTTGGGCTAAACAGTCTCAGTTTCTTTCAAGTCTAATACTGGGATTTTTAATAATCTGTGTCCCCATTCCATCATCCATAAGATTGCGACAACATGTGTTCACCTCTGAGAGAGACAGAATTTTCCTTAATATTGGTAAAATATTGCAACATTGTGGCCACCCAAAAATTGGGCCCTGGCAGTAATCTAAGCTTTCACACAGGTGTTGGAGGCCTAAGACCAGTTTCTTATAAAATGTTAATAACTACTGTAGAGTATTAGTTTTTAAGTATTATACCTGTATGCTGTTACAGTTGTCTCCCATAAGATAATCATATTGGAGGGAAAAAAAATCACTGGAGAAGAGAAAGTGTACATATTTAATATTTTAATAGAGGACGAGGAAGGGAAATGAAGTAGAAGTGGAACCAGGTGAAGAAGTGGCCTGGGCTACTAGTACCATTGTCTAATCCCATAGTCATCTTATGTTTGTGGCCATGGCAGTTATTTCTTGAAGTGTTTTTTATGGAATAGGCACTGTATTGAGCTCATATATTTTATCTCCCTTAACTCTCACAGCAATTCTATCCAGGTAGGCACTGTGATTATCAATAATTGGCCAGAATGAGAATTTGAATCCTAAATGTGTGTGACCCAGAACCCAGGCTTTTAAAGCCATTACATTTTACTAGGTCTTGTTTGGTACTGGGACTGAAGGATGCAAAATGCTCTTTCTAAAACTTCCTTGCAACCCAGACAGTTATTCTAGTGCTGTCTCCTGTTGAAATTGTTATGCAAAACAAAGCCCATTAGGGATCTGAAAGGTGGGTTCTAGTTTTACTGTTCTATATTTTTGGACAAGACATCAAAGCTTTTTGGATCTCACTTTACTTATTTGTAAAACAGAGAGCTACTTGAAGAGAGAAGGCCATATGTTACTCATCTTTTGCCCTTTTGGATGTAGCGGTGTTGGGCAAATAGGAATGCAAGGGGGTAGACAAGATGGTCTCTTTGCTGCGTTTCTCATTCTTTGATCTTGGAATAGGGCCTTGACCAGGCAGGTGTATCATAATGCACAGCAATACTTTTCTTTCTATTTTTAAAACAGAAAAAGGCATGCTAAATTCTCGTGACTTATCGTTTATCTTGAGAGGATTGGTCTTGACAGAATGGGTGGGAGATTACGTGAGTTGCTGTCTGGATCTGGGATTGATGTTCGTATCCAGGCCTCCTTTACTTTCCAGAGACTTGATCCTACTGTTGCATAACAGAAACAGAAATTGTAGTAACCACTACGAAGGGTGGCTGGGAACCAAGGATTCACGGCACTATCGATCCAGGAAAGCAGCTCTTTAAAACTTACGCAACCAAGCCCTTCCAGGGCGAGGGGCAAACCCCTGGCCAAGAAGACTGTGTCCTGCGTGCACTTTGATACTTGACCTTGTCCTAGTCTCTTTTCCTCCCAGACTTGTTTCCTCACCTGCAAAATGGTGGAGCTGCCGTAGACGGAGTTCCCGGAGCTTCTCCCCAGACGCCGGGCTTTAACTCCTCCCCTTGAGTGTGGGGGCGGGGCGAGGAGAAGTTCAGACCAGGAGTCACCCGGAACCACGGGGCGGTCCCTTCCCTTCTTCCCACTCCCCGCCCCGTCGCTCCACCGCGGTGAGGTCACGCGGGGGACGTCACGGGGTTGTGACGCCACTGAGGGGCGGGCCTCCCAGAGAGGAAGGGGCGGGGCACAGGCGGGCGGCGCTTGCGCAGTGGGCGCGGCGCGGGAGGAGGCGGAGGTGGCGGAGAAGCTAGAGGCGGCGGCGGCGGAGGCGGCGGCGCTGGGGGGGGTGGGAGGGGGGGGAGAGAGAGTGAGTGAGTGGCTGAGTGAGTTTATCCCTATGAGGCGGTGAGAGGCCCGGGGCCTACCTCAAAGGAGTGGGGTCGCGGCGCCAGCTAGCAGCGGGCCCCCTCCCGGTCCCCGGGCCCGGCGGCGCGGCGGCGGCGGCAGCTCCGTTTTGAGGAGGCGGAGAAGCGGGTGTTCGGCCCCAGCCATGGAGGGCATGGACGTGGACCTGGACCCCGAGCTGATGCAGAAGTTCAGCTGCTTGGGCACCACCGACAAGGACGTGCTCATCTCCGAGTTCCAGCGGCTGCTCGGCTTCCAGCTCAACCCCGCCGGCTGCGCCTTCTTCCTGGACATGACCAACTGGTGAGCCGGCCCCGCCGCGCCAGCGCTGGGGCCCGCGGGGAAGGGAAGGGACACCCGAGCGAGGCGGCAGGGCGGGCCGGGCGGGCACTCAGGGGTACCCCCTTCTCCGGGCGTGGAGGGCTTGTGGGGGAGCCTCCGGGACATGGGAGAAATTTGGGAGCTGAATAAGGCTAGAGAGGACGTACGAGGGGAATGGGGGGCCAGGGAGTGCAGGAGAGGCGGAAGGGAGACTGGGGAGGGGCTCCTGAGGTTCCGCAGAGAATTGGGGGCCGAGGAACGTGGAAAGAGGGGGAAGACTTGAGTATCCAGGCATAGGGGTAGAACTGGGAGCAAGAGGCTGCGGTGTTAGGAGTAAACAGCACAGGAAATCAATTTGGGGGCTGGGAAAAAAGCTTGGGGTATGGAGTTAGGGTTGAGGAAGACAGGGATGAGGGGGCACTCTGGGAGAGAATTAGGTGTTATGGAAGAACCTGGGGCACGGGAGAGACTAGGGAATTAGGACCTGGGAGATGTGTGTGTGTGTGTGTGTGTGTGTGTGTGTTTCTCCATTCGAGGACAAATAGGGAAAAGGAAAAAAATATTATGGGGGAGGACAAGTGAGTACGGTAAGAGAGATGACTTTCCGAAGAGTAGTGCCAGGGAGGGGTGGGATCCACTAACGGAGGACCGGGAGTGCTAGACCTGCGGCAGGGTCTGGAAAACCCTTAGGAAAAGTGAAGGAAAGGACATTATCTTGAAGGAGGGAACTTTCTGAGGGCCGTGGAGCCCTGGACTCCAGAAGGCCAGAATGGAGAAGGGCTTATCTGAAGTAAAGCTCGGTTGTCTGGGATGTTTGGGAAAATGGAGAACTTGGCTTAGGCTGGGAACCAAGTTTTTTGGCTTGGAGTCTCCTTGTATGATTGGGGCAGAAGACCATGGCACTTAGACTAAAGGAGTGTTTCTTGGCTTTGTATGTGTAGCACTTGCTATTTTGATAAGCAGGGCTTCTCCTTGTTCTCTTAGGAGGGCGGTTGAGTTCACTTAGGGTGAGTGATAAACTAGAGACCATTAGACTTCCTTTAAAAGGATTTCAGGTGAAACAACTCATTTTTCGTTTGTCAGAAAGCCAGGGGGGATGAGTGCCCTTTGCTCTCAGTGTTTGGGCATTCAGTCCCTTGATATGTGGAATCTTGTTTCTCTTGGCATCACTTATACAACCAGTTTCCCCTTTATTCCATGTCCACTGAATGCCTCAGGCAATGCCCGAAAAAAAGAGGCGGTAAGCCTAGTCTTTATCCCATTCCTCTTCTAGTCCTGTCTGGAATGATGCTCATCTTATCATCTTACTTGTAGCTGTGGTCATGCCAAAGGTGATGTGTAATTTTTTTTTTTTTTTTTTGGAGCATCATTGGTAGGCCCTGTTATTTTATCTTTTTAAACTTGATTGTTATAGCAAGAGTAGAATTGAATTTCTAAATGTTTAGAAAACTTTTGAGGCATTCAATGCAGGAGATAGTCTTTATAATTGAAGAAGCATTTGTGATCCCCACTTCTATCTTTTATATCTGGGATTATCTAAGAGAGGGACTGCAGCTTACAGTAGTTTTCAGAAGACCAACCTATGGTGTTTAAATAGTCCTTGGTAGGGGTTATTAGAAACACTGAGAACAGGTATTACACTAGTGAAATTTAGAAGTAAAGCCGTATCTTGAAGAGGGTTCTCTTGCCTGCCTACTTCCTACCCCCAGCTCTTTTTCTTCCTTGTTTACACTAGTTCAGCATAGGAAACTTGGCATATTGTTGCTGCCAGTTTGGTAGGAAGGATCATTATTTCTCCCCACCCCCTTGTGAGTCGTACCATTTAAACCCTACCCCTATATGTTTTTAGTTCTTTAGAGTCAGTATTTATTAGTATAATTATGGCTACAGAACCAGTGTACTGAATTTTATATGTTTGAGGTGTGTTTGTTTAACATCTAAGATTGTTTGTTTTTAGGTGTTGTGAAAGGTGAGGCACAGTGTGGATAAGGAAAAAAAAAACTTAAAAATTATAGTTGCATTGTAGAAATTTTATTTGAATTTCTTAATAAAAAATTGTTAATAGAGCAGCATGTATTCTAATGAGATGGCATCTTTGTATAAATCAAGGTGTGATACATTTCTAAGCAAAGCAGTGAGCCATTAAAAGATGGATTTAGGTTTTAAAGCAGTTAGAAGTTAGTAGCTGCTTAGGAATCCAGGCAATTAAGTGATAACTCAGCTTTAAGCTATATTACCTTATTTTTTGGTTATAGAAGTCATATTTTTTATTTTTGATTATAAAATGAAAAATTGTTTTTGAAGTGAAGGGAGTGAGGCTTGCTATTTTTTTCTTTCTAATGAAAGCAGTTAGCTCCAGTATTGTATTTTGATTCCTATTTTGACCTGGCTGTACTTTGTCTTGTTAAATTTTTGTTTAGTAAAATCTAGTTAAAATACATACAGTCATGCAGGTGTACTTGTCACAACATTTGTGTTAATATATAGAAATGTACTATTTTTAAGCGTCATTTAAATTTCCAATTTTGTAAACTCTTGAGATCGTCCTGATACAGGTTGGCAGAATCTCAAATTGCTGTGATTAACCTGTTGAATTTGAGATGATTAACTTTACTGTGACTTCGTAGGTGCCTGCTGTGGGTTTTAATAAATAACCACCATTCAGTTGTTTGATAACTGTTAGAAGATAATGTGGTAAATTAAAAATCATTATTTTAAAATGAAGGCCATAAGTTTTCTAAAATGAAACTTGGGTTGGAAAGACTATGCTTTTGTTTTCAAAAGTAAGTATTTTTTGTTGTCAGTAACAGACAACTTTTTAAGAAGCTGTTGAAGAACTGACTGAATTGAATGTTTTGGTCTTGTAAATTATCTACCCTATATTTTTCCCTCAAGTCTTTAGCTTGTTGCGCATTATGTAGATATTTCTATTTGTTTAATTTGAGACGAAGTATGTTTCAGTTTAAGCATTTTTGAAGTGTTTATACCTGAGCTGGCAGGCAGCCATGCTGCTGGAGATTGATGGAACTGCCTCTTAACAAAAGTAGTCAATTTTCAGTTCCTAAGTGAGTACATAAAGTGAATAAATGGTGTGGTGAAAAGACCTAGTATCTGCAGCCAACTGAAATGACTCGTAGATTACTAGAACTTTCTGTAGGTGGAATGTCTTGCAGAGACATTACTGGGCTGTGAGTATGGAACCTGGAGTCTGAAACTGGAAGCTGGCTTAAGAGATTCTCTAGTTCATTCCAGTTTTTCTTGAAGAATTGCATATAATCCTTCCCAGATAGCTTATTGTTGCATCCCTGAGGGTAGAGATTTGTGTGATACCTTATTATAGTGTTTTATTACATTTCTAGTCAGAATTTTGTCAAAACTAAGTCTCTCTTATTACAGTTTAAAACTTTTTCATTGCATATATCCTCCTTGGAGATGAAGACTATCTAATAAACACCTTCCTTAAGAGGTCAGAAAGTTTCTGTTAATTCAAATCACTGAAGCTTTTTAAACATTTATAATTTAAGCACATTCAATTTAGTGGTTTCTCATCCTTTAATGTAGCTAAATAGATTGCTTTGTTTTGAGGGAGAACCAACATGATTCAGAGGAGAACTTCCATATGATTTTTAAAAAATTTAACATAAAACCATTTTAACCAATTTTAAGTGTACAGTTGAGTGTCACATAAGATTTTAAGTTCACTTCTGGCCCTCAAAATCATTTGTCTCATGTTTTTAAAGTGAGTTGTTCTTTAGCATTTGTGACAAGAAGCAAATAACACTTTTAGATTTTATTTTGATTCAATTTGATTGATTGTTAAAGTAGGCTCCATGCCCAACATGGGGCTTGAACTTAAGACCTCAGGATCGAGAATTGCATGCTCTAGCAACTGAGCCAACCAGATGCCCCTAGATTTTATTTTATTTTTTAATACTTCTAGATTTTTAGAGGACGTTAACTTCAGAATTAATACTGGCCTTATTTTTGGTACAGGTGTAAATACAATAATTTTGACTAGCATATAGCCAGTGTTGACTGTTCATTTGGCTGGTACTTTACAGTTGTGGTGTTGCAACATACTAGTTACCTGCAGGTGTCTTCAGGAAGTAGTGTGTATTTTTTGGAACATTACATGTGCCCATCGTGGGTGGAACAGATGTTTTCTAGAAAAGTAACTAGGGAAAAACATTTTTATACAGTCATGTCCTGTTGACTTTGTCAAGATTGTCAGAGGCACCGGACTAGATAAAATAAAGGTATATTTGACACAATGAAGCAAAATCAGAATCTAGATGTGAAAATCAGTTGTATCTCTTACTTCTTGGTACCTCTACAGCCTAATCTTAATCCATTTCTTGTCATCTGCATGATATATCAGTTTCTGATCCAATCTCTGGTTTATATGCACGAGTCTAGGACAAGTCCCTTTATAACAGATAAACCACGATATTAGTATGGGGTTTCTGGAATATAATGTGTGCCAAGCAGCAGTTCTGGGAGGAGGGTAGGGAAGGATTGCATAACACTTAATGACAGAGTGTTTTGCACTCTCTGACTTTTTAAAAAATGTTTGATTGATTGATTTAGAGGGCAAGAGTGGGAGAGAGGAAGATGGAGGAGAGGGAGAGCATGGGGAAGGGGCAAAGGGAGGGGAAGAGAGAGAATCTCAAGTAGACTCCCTGCTGAGCACATGGCTGCTCAACCCACTGGGCCACCCTAGTGTCCCATGCTCTGTGACATTTTTAAGAAGGTTGAGGGTTCTTGGTTTGGAGTTCTTCTTTTCCACCCTGTTCTTAACTTTTTGAGTGGCACATACAAGTTGAGACTCTGGGTATAATATAAAAAAGTTTATAAATAGATCATCTAGATTCATTTTAGTTTTAAAAGGAATGCAGTAAAAAGTACATTGTTGTGCTACAGAGGTCTTTACAAACAGTGTTGCTGGGGGACTTTATAATGAGGGTGGATGGAGGTGGTTTCTT